ATTAAATTAATTTAAAATATTATAGTTACTAAATATACCCAAACAAACTAATGCAGTCAATATGAAAACACTCATGATTTAAACAGATTTTTATTAAATAACATTCATACAATACTACAACTGTGCTTTATATAACATTAAATGAAAATGATGCTATTATTGACTATACAGCGATAAAATATTGAATAATATAATTATCAAATTAAATATGTTAAAAATTATATTTGTTTTCTCAATAATAAATATAAAATTAGTTAACATTGTATTGATGTAAACAATTTAATTTGCTAATTTTGGCTGTACAGTTTAATTTTAAATATGTGTTAGTTAAAAATGTATACAATAGACTTGCACAAGTTTTGTAAATTATATTTACTATAAAAGTAGATGAAATACTTTTGTGATTTTGCGTACAATATTGTGTAGGTAATTGTGGGCACTGTATATGTATACAATTATTATTAAGGTTGATTGAGGTAAAGTAAGTGTGGGCACTTTTACCATATTAAATTCTATAAATCACAACAATAAATAAAATTATTTATTCAAATAAAAATAGTATTTAATATAATGTAAATTTAATTTCACCTTTACAATTACATTAAAAGTAATCTTGTCGACCAGTGCATATTGTGGTACTTTGATCTTGTAGCAAGCTGAAACTCTGTTGTGGCGCTATAAATAAGCTGAAATCAAACTTATCTAAAATGAGCATAGTCGATGGTTCAACCGTGCCCAATCTCGAGGGCGATAAAATTGATTGGCATTTCTTTAAATAATTGCCCTCGTGGAGTTTGCTTTTAACAACCAAAAATTTGCCCTGAATTGGTCCAGTAATCGCCTGGGCTACGTAAATATATTCCAGTGAAACTATCACATAACAGCATGATGAATAACACAAATTTAATATAATTAATTAATCAAACAACATATAATTACTAAATATTGCTATCATTAACCGAGATTGGTTAGCTAGAAAGGGGCACATGCTCATTTGTTTTTATGATATTACCTGCTTCATCCACATACGTGTCCGAAATTACAAGTAGGTTGATGACAACCTTCTGGCCATTGGGCATTAACATTACCATAGTTCTAGTTGGATCAAAAATGGTTGATGTATGGTCGCACCTGGTGTTTAAACTAGCCGTTAAAATAATAGTATAATTGGCAATGTCTTGGCCCTGACACGAGTCGAAAACACCAAAATTTATGATTGGCACCCTGGGCTCTTTATTTCAAATAAAAATTTATTTTTAAAAAATTATTTAAATAGCATTTCTACAAATTGGAATTAAATGATTTTACACCATGATTCTTGAAAATTACATTTTAATTAAATTTTACCTGCGGTGGTTTGTCCAGAGTCGCCGTGAATTAAATAAACTAAATTTGAAAATATTTAGAAATTATATAACTTTATCAAAAAATGATGTATTAATACATTACTTGCATTAATCAGTAGTAATGCAATTGACACAAACATTGTTTATTATAATTAACAACTAATTTATATTTACAATAAGTTTAAAGTTTGTCACAACTAAACTAAAATATTATTGTTTATTCGTGTTTTTATTTGTTTAAAATGTACTAAAAAATGTACTATTGAAATGTACTTTGTTTAGATAAAATGTACTTTACCTTATTATGCAAAATTAGAATAGCAATATATCTATAGAAATGAGTATGAGTAATACTATTGTGTAAAGATGGTAAGATTGATAAAATTACTTTAGATGTGATTATAATTATTATCACTGATTTTAATTAGTAAATAACATTTCGCATTATTGTGCAATTGATATTAAATCCACTATAATTTAAAACAATAATCAGCACTTATCTAATTTTACAGCGTTCTTATCAAAACAATAGTCAAAAGTGATTTTAAGATTTTTAATTAGTATACTTGAATTAATAATTTATTAAAAGTGTTTTTAAATTCATTTTTCATTATTTTATATACATTTATATTTGTATATTGTATTTTGTATATTTATATACTGTACAATACATAGCACAAAAACATGTAAAATATTACATTTTAATTTACACTAAATTACATCAAATTATGTTATGTAACATTTTATTGAAACAAATAATCAAAATAATTATTCATCCATTTATTTGTTAAATAAATTAACTTAAAATAAATGTTAGTAAAAATTATTTAAAATACCATGTCAAAAGTTATACTAAATTGCATTTTTAAACATAATCAAATGAAATACTTTTGTCCATTACATACAGTGGTATAGGTTTTTCTAAACGCTTCAAAAGCACCGGTAGGCGCCAGGAGTACGTCTAGTCCTATGCGATCGCCGATTAAGATTGAGCTACTTTTGGACACTATATACGAATAGCCCAACACTGATGAGCATCTTGATAAATATTTCAATTGCAATGATATATACGTCTCGTACAGGTATTTGCCCCCTAATAATCCCTGGTCAATAATATATAATTCGTCAACGCGCACATACTCTATTAATAATAGTAAGTTAATCAAGGCAAATTAGATACTATTAACTAGATAATACCTCCATTGTACAAGTAACTTTCTGATAAAAGTGTCAAATGAGTAGTTGTAATATTACCATCTGATTGGGTAATAATAAGTGTACGGTCTTTAAAACCACCTTTAACTGATTGACACCGGGGGCCTCTTATGAGACGACTCATCATGGTGTAGTTGTTGTTTGCATCCGGGCCATTGCAGTCGTGGTACTTGTTAATGGTGATTAATGATTGATTATTTGCTGAATTATGGCATAATTTTAATTGAAATATTGTAAATAATAAAAATAAACATGCTTTTTTAATTAATCATGGTAATGGTCTTACTAGGTGATGCGAGTAATACTTGGTTAGGTGTTTGTTGACAGGTACATGATTGTTGTTTAAATGCTATTTAAATATAAAGTATTTTAATTAATTTTATTAATAAAAATATTTAAAAAATAATAAATAGTAATTTTTATTATAAAATTACATGCCTAAATAGACAAATGCTGTTAATATAAAAACATACATCTTTAACTTGTAACGATTAAAAACATATTTTTATATTTATTCATGTGTATTTATATCAGCAAACTAATTATTGGGCTTTATGATGTGTAACATATTATAAAAAGCATCATGTTATTTTTCAACTATCATTTACTCAATATATTGTAATTATCAAATAAAATATGTTAAAAATTACTTTAAAAGTTATTTTTAACGCACAAAATATTTACAGTATAAATATACTTTAGTTTCACTCCAGTAGTGTAAATACAATAATTTTCATGTAAAAAATTAAATTTTTAATTCACAAATATAAATTAAATAATTTTAAATAAATGTTATTTAAAACAAATTTTTATTAAATCAAGTTAAATAAAATACTTTTGTCCATTACATACAGTGGTACAGGTTTTTCTAAACGCCTCAAAAGCACCGGTAGGCGCCAGGAATACGTCTAGTTCTATGCGATCGCCGATTAAAATTGTGGTACTTTTGGACACAATATAAGAATAGCCCAAAACTGACGAGCATTTAGCCATATACGATAATTGTAGCGCTGTATACGTCTCGTATAGATATTTGCCAGCTAATGGTCCCTGGTCAATCAAATACAATTGGTCAACGCGTTTATATGCTATTGAATAAAACTAATTTATAAAACCCTTAAGTAATAATTATTGCAAAATTGATGCTAAAATAATTATGAGAAAGGTAATACCTCCTTCTAGCCAATCGTCTGATGCTAAAAGTGTTAAATGTGTAGTTTTAAGACTGCCATTGGGTTGGCTAATAATGAGCTGTCGGTCGAAAGGATTACCAAGACCACTATTTGTTGTGCACATATCAACCGTGTGTCTGAGCAAACCAGTGATTGTGTAGTTGTTTGCATCCGTGCCCCGGCAATCATGGTACTCATTTATGGTAATAAATGTTATTAAGTTTACTAAATTGTGACACAATTACAAATTGTGAAAATACAATTATCATAATAATCTATATTTATATATTATACTGTTTGATGATGGTGAAACACTTTCGCCTTTAGATAGAACTATTTTAAATGAATAGATGTGAATTTTTAATAATTTTTAATATCTTGTATTTATATTTTGTCTTTTAGTGTAAATACAATAATTTTAATTTTAAAAATTAAAGGAGGATGTGGAATACTCTATGTTAATTTGGCTAAAAAAATAATTTTTATTTAACCCTACGGAAAAAAGTTGTCTAAATTGTATCTTGGCCGATTTTTAGTTCAAAGTTAATTTAATGCGATATTCTTTATTATACTAGACATATTTTAAATTAGAATGCAAATAATACACACCAGATGACAATCTGGCCACGAATTCGGCCATAGTTGTTACTATTTTCAGTAAATATCAACTTATTTAAAATTAACATATGATATATGAAATCTATGTAGAATTTAACGGAGAATCAGAATATAGTAATATCACATTAGTAAAATTAAGAGATTTTTTGAAATTTGTGTAAACTACCAAAACCTATTTAAAACAAGTTATTACATCATCACCGACAACCACACCACAACCCCGACCACCACCTACAACAACAATAAAGAACGCTTAATTATTACAAAAATTTGAATTTACCTTAAAAAATAATTATTCATTATAATTTATATTTTTCTTTTATTTTAGTACTAATCCATGAATAAAGTTAGGTTTTCAAAAAATTATCAATATATGACGTCAAAATAACAAAAATTGAAATTATAATTGTTAATTTTAAAAATATTTCAAAAATGATATGTCCCATGCAAATAATAATGATATATTCTGATTCTACGTTAAATTCTACATACATCTCATATATCATATGTTAATTTTTAATAAGTTTAAAATTCCCAATAAACGTGGTCACTACCGCCGAACCCGAGGTCGGCCGGCCATATAGATTATATCATTGGACTCCTTATGTAATGTACTTTCATTTTATATTGTCAAATCCCGATTGCCAGCTTAGCCGGCTCCCGACATCCTACTTTGATCTAATAAATAAAGCAATTCATTTAGTAAAAATGCATAAATAGAAAATAAATGCAGACTTTAATGTCTTGAATGTAAAATTTTAAAATGTAAATTTAAATAAAATAAATGTTATTTTGGTTTATCATACTTCTAGATATAATTTTATAATAAATACCTGAATTTAATTTAAATAAAAACAAATAAAATTAAATTAAATCACAATCTTAAATAATAATTTTCAAGAAATTCAACTGAAATTAATCTAAAGTCAATACAGTGTGTCGTGTATACATCCAATATACATTTAATGTATCGACTTTTAAAAATTTTTGTGAGCTTATTTCAATCTTGAACATCAATCATATTTTCTGAAATTGCACTTGGTCATTCTAATGTTAATAAATTAAATTTATTATAATTGCAAAATTAACATTAATTTTTCTTTAAAGTATATTTATTTTAAAATTTATGTTGACTAAATTTATATCTATAAAACATAAAGCTGATATATTTTTATATATTGTTATATCGCTATTGTTAATATAGTGTATAATACAATACATGTAGTTTCTAATAAATTGGACACAAACCTGGCTAACGTGATGCGCGCCTTTTGTCCCCCCGATAGCTGTACTCCTCTCTCACCGACTAATGTCTTGTCTCCGAACGGGAATAACTCAAAGTCCTGCTTCAAAGCGCACACCTCTACCACTCGTTTATATCGGGATTCATTATAGTCGGTACCAAAGAGTATGTTATTTTGAACACTAGTATTGAAACTCCAGGACTCTTGACAGGCATAGCTTATCGATCCCACCGTTTCTATATTTCCCGACAGAAGCGGTAATTCTTCCAGAATTGTCATCAATAATGAGCTCTTAATAGTTTTAAATTATTAATTATTTCAAAGTATATTAAATTTAATTACAATTATTTTCATACCTTTCCGGCGCCAACCGGTCCGATGACTGCCAACAGATCTCCCGGTTTTAAATTAAAAGATATATTATGAAGATTTGGAAACGGACTTTCCTGCAATTTAAATAATTATATAATACTTTTTTATTTATTAAATAATATATATTTTTATACATCACTCCATTTGGCGGTTATGTTATTAACAAAAATTTCAGGCAATTGTTTACCATTTTTCGCACTTTTCGTTAAAACATTAGTTTTATTGCCTGAATTTACATCCCTTTCATCCAACTCTAGAAATGTCTGAAAAACAAACAATAAAAACATTTTAATAATTGAACACAAAAACTATAACATGTGTCAAAACTACTTGTATGCGCCGACAGGTGACCAGCATTTCTGCCACGTCTTGTATAGCGTCCGGAAATTTTGAAGTCATTGTTAGTCTTAATATACTGAACAAAGACATCGACACAAACACCGCTTTGGCTGTCAATACATTACCCGTCAGTACGTATGTTATGAATACAGCGAATAGTATTATATGTGAGGCCGCGNCCCGTCAGTACGTATGTTATGAATACAGCGAATAGTATTATATGTGAGGCCGCGTAGAATATGGACAAATTAATGGCATATAGAAAACATCCAACTCTAATACGACCCACCTCGCTCCTATTTATGTAAAACACAATATTAATCATTAGTACCAATAAAATAAAAAGCTAAACTACATTTCAACCATAATGTAATAATTCAAATTATTATTTATTAACAAAATCAGTTAATAATATTATGTTACAGTTTTAATTCGTTATATGTTTCATTTATTATTAAAAATGAAATTTTCATTTATAGTGTTAATTTAATGTTGATTTATTTGTATATTATAATTAGAAATATTTTGATTTTGATAAAATAATTGGACCAAAAATTTTAATTTAGACCAAATTCACTTAATAATTAGTTAATTTTTTAGTTAATGTATTGATTTATACTATATATATATATAGCATGATTAAAATATGCAATTTGTCTGACATTTCCACTGATTAAACTATTACATGGCAAATATCTAACTTGTAAGTATCTTACTTTTTTTACAGTTTAAAATGTAATATTAAAATTTAATAATGTATTTAAAAAATAAATACATACTTGCGTGCGGTGGCCACAAGTCGGGCGAATGACTGTTCCCAGGCATACATCTTAATGGCTCGCATTCCAGTGATTATCTCATTCATTAATTTTAGACGATTGTCAGTTAACTGTGCCGTTGTAAACCTGCAAATTATTTATTATACATTATAATTAATTATTATCAAAAGTTTTTATAAATACTGTAATTAATTAATATTTAATAATTATAAATAAGCAATTTTATGCAATTGGTACCTGAGTTTAGAGAAAAGTTTGCCCATAAATGCCTGAAATGGTATTAATAGGGCCAATAGTCCAACGCCAACGAAACAATAGTAACTCAAATATCCGTACATTATATATATGGCAATTGTTGTCTGTATGGGCGCTATAATCAGATACGGCACCGTAAATGTGAACTATTAAAGCAAAATATAATAAAAATATATCTTTTCTCCACTCTTTATAACACAACTCAAGTTCTTGAGCACCGGTTTGTCTGATCCCTCGTAACACAAACTCATATCCTTGAGCTCTATCTGTCCCTTCTGTGGCCAATCGGGAGGGGGTTTATGGCTATCATGTGCTGTGAGGGCCGCCTCTTGTGGTAGTCTTGAGTACTCAATGATGCGCTCGACTGAAGTCATCTGACTTTCTAACTCCGCTGACTGCCGGACCCCCCACTGAGCCATTCCGGTCAACATTAGAGCTGATATAACAATATATTACAACTTATTAATATATTAATAAAATAATTAAAATAGGTATTACCTGAGGACAGGGCCAGTCCAGCACTTCCACCACCAATATTCTCATAAAACACCATCAATACTACGCTAACCACCACTATATAAACCACACAAAACCAGTCCATAACAATAGCCAATACACGTTGTGTACATAATTTCATAAACCACATGGCCGTATGATCATCCTGGTAAATACTAAACTGGCGCTCAAACTCTGCCTGTGTTCCATAGGCCCGGACACTGGCCAACCCATTTAGTGTTGTGCTTACGTGACTAAATATAGGACTTTTAGCTATTTTGATGATCAAATAAGTTTAATTGTTACTATTGTTTTATATGATTGTACGTGGTTAGCAACTCACCCACACCACCGAGCCTTTGTATATCTCTCGCTGATTTAATGTAAACCACTCTCACCAATAAACCAACCATGATCAAAAACAAGGCCGCAATTATAAGGTAGGGATTCACTATAGAGACCACAACAACGATACCTATTACTGAAGTTATGCACTAAATGTGGAAACAGATAATTTAATACGTGATAAGTAGTAAACATGCTTTAACTTGATAATAATTACCATGTTTAGCTCATAACTAATTGACGGAAGCATCTCATCAACAGTTCCCATGTCATTAGTGAATCGGTTTAATATACGACCTGTGGTAGTATTAATTGTTAATACTTGACCATGTTTAGTTATAATTATAAAATGCAAATATAAATTGACATTAATTACCGACGGGATTGTTGTCAAAGAATGATATGGGAGTTCGTAATAAAGTAGAGAATATACTGTTGTGAAGATTAACCGATGCCCGCATACACATCATATACCATGTGTTCACTCGGATTAGTGCCGTCGCAAATAGGGCTGCGATTAGTGATGAGTAGATTATAACATCCTTATTCTGTTGATCATGGTCAATTTGTTCGGATGTCTTATTCTGGTATTTTTCAGTCCTTAATATTGTTAAAATTAATTAATAATTAAAAATATAATTGTTCGGAATTTTTTTGACATAATTAAAAATTAAAAGTGATTAAAAAGCAAAATATACCATCTTGAAAGAAATAATTCTGTTCCGTTTAATAGCACTTGCGATATAATTGTAGCCATAAGCGTAACCATAAGCAGTAGGGGTCCGGCGCCGGCCTTTGCGTACTCCCAATACACCCGCCTTTCAATGGAACCAATTTCTCGGTTTTCTTCGCATATTTGTGGCGCAATCATAGGCTCATCAACTCTGGACTCGTCATCACATCCTTCGTTCCCGTCGGCCGTATTTGCAGATATTGTCCGCACAATTAGATCCCTTTGCTGTGCGACTGCCTTATCGTCCGCTTCCTTCTCCTGATCCTTAAGAATAGACATGAAGTCTAAGCCCCGGGACTGGAGCTCATCATAGGATCCCAATCCCAGACACTTTCCCTCGTCGTTCAAAACCAATATTTGTGTCGCTTTTCGTATGAATTGGATTTGATGTGTGACTAGAATACGGATTTTGTCGCACAAGTAGTCGACTATACATCTGGTGTTCATTATATCGCGAATACATTATATGTTAGACTTATTTGTAATCATAATTATAACAATCATTGCAATACAGCACTCAACGGGTCGTCCATTAATACGATGTCTGAGTTTCGGTACAGTGCTCTACATAACACAAATAATGGCTATTATTATTAAAACTCAATTAAGAAAATATTTTAAANCAACACTAGTGTCGACAGCACTCAACGGGTCGTCCATTAATACGATGTCTGAGTTTCGGTACAGTGCTCTACATAACACAAATAATGGCTATTATTATTAAAACTCAATTAAGAAAATATTTTAAATGTATGTGATTAATTTATAGTTATTTATATTTGACATTATACTTTTAAAATAATATTTATTTTAATAAATTATTCAATTCATTTAGTAAAAATTCACAAATAAAAAATAAATGCAGACTGTAATGTTTTAACCTTAGAATTTTAATATCTAAATTCAATTAAAATAAATGTTATTTTGGGGTATTTCGGATCCAGTATGTTTTGATATAATTATAAATAAATACCTGAATTAAATTTAAATAGAGACCACAATCTAAAGTACTAATGTTCAAGGAGTTCAAAGGAAAATTATCATAAGTAAATACATGTGTTTCTATACGATATAAAGAATGTTTCTATTTCTTTACATTTCATGTATTGACTTTTAAAATTATTTTATAAACTCATTCAATCATAATTTCTAAAATTGCACTATGGTCATTATAATGTTATTTGATTAAATATATAATAAGTGCAAAATTATTATTAATTTTTTTTAAAGTAAATGTATTTTAAAATTGATGTTAGAATATATAAATATATTATAGTTTGTAATATTATATTAATATCACTAAAATCCTTTTTCTTAAATTATGAATTTTAAAATATTAAAACTGTAATTTTGTACTCAAGTGGACAAATATTATGGATTGGTTTGGTTATACATTTGAAATGGTTTAGTAATGAAGGGGCATATAAAATAAAAACTCATGTAATAAAGATAATCAATTATATTAATTTATAAATAATATTTTTCAACTTATTTTTATGTAAAGTCTTTAGTTAAATATAAATCAAATAATATATTTTTAATTATAAAAATTATTGTTAAAATATGTTAAAATATTTTACAAATTGTATTAAAGTGAGGTGAATATTAAACTATATTTAAGATGATAAATTTAAATGGATAAATACAGGGACTTAATATAGGATATTTGGTATTTATAAGAAAAATTTATTTTAATATATTAATTATAGATATAGTAGCTAATATACAATGAATTGTAAACTAACCTGGCTAACGTGATGCGGGCCTTCTGTCCCCCCGATAGCGATACCCCTCTCTCACCGACTAATGTCTTGTCTCCGAACGGGAATAATTGAAAATCTCGCTCCAAAGCGGACACCTCTACCACTCGCTTATATCGGGATTCGTTATATTCGGTACCAAAGAGTATATTATTTCGGACACTATTATTAAAACTCCAGGGCTCCTGAGAGGCATAACTTATCGATCCCACCGTTTCCACACTTCCAGACAGAACCGGCAGTTCTTTCAAAATTGTCATCAATAATGAGCTCTAAATCACACAATTAATTATAAGTAATACGTTTACAATTAAATATATCTATAAATAGCAAATACCTTTCCAGCGCCTACGGGCCCGATCACAGCCAACAGGTCTCCGGGTCTCAAATGAACGGATATATTCTGGAGGTTTGGGTGCGGACTGTCCTGCAAAGCGATTGACATTGAATTGTTAATAAAGGTAAATATTATTTAACATTGATCACGTTATAAATATTCATACATCACTCCATTTGGCGGTAATGCTATTGATGTTCAATTCTGGCGATTGTTTTGCTCGTAATTGCATTTCATTTTCATTCAATTTCAATGATTTTAAATCCATTTCTTCCAACTCGAGATAAGTCTTTGAGAAAAACAAAACAAAATCATATCATTAATAATTAATTAAACTAATAAGTAATTTAATAATATAAAAAACATGCAATAAATGTTTTTAAAGTTTGTCGAATTGAGGCCAACCCAAAGTTACGTTAACAGAGTTCATAGACAAAACTAAATAAAACATATTGGGCAAACTTTACAGCTTGTTGAAAACTAACCTGTATGCGGCGACATGAGACCAATAGCTCTGCACCAAGGGCAATTGCCTGTGGGAAGAGCCACGTCATTGTGATCCGCAATGTGTTAAACAGAGCCATCGTTACGAACACCGCTTTGGCGGTCAACACATTACCCGTCAGTACGTATGTTATAAAACATGCGAATAGTATTATACGTGAGGCCACAAAAAACACCGACAAATTGATCGCTTTTAGAAAACATGCCATTCGTATGCGACGTACCTCGCTCCTATTACCAAAATTATCAAGTTTAGCATTTAATTTTATTTCAAACTCGACGAATTCATCCCAAAGAATTTGTTTTGTTTATAAAAGTTATTATATAAAAACTATCATTAAATTCTTGTTACAGTTTTTAAATAATTTATAATTAGTTGTATTGTAATAATGATAATATTATTTTGCACTTACTTTCGGGCCTCAGCCACGAGATCGGCAAACGACTGTTCCCACGAATACATTTTAATGACTCGCATACCGGAAATGATCTCGCTCATTAGCCTAAGTCGATTGTCTGTTAACTGCGCGGTCATTAATCTGTGTATTAAATAATTAACCAAGTTAAATGTTTATTGTTTTTAAAATGACTAAAACGAATAATAAAGTGTCATTAATCAATTTATAATTAGATAATTTTTCAGCCGATTGGTACCTGACTTTTGAAAACTGTTTGCCCATAAATGACTGAAACGGTATGAATAGTAGCAACAGTACAACGCCTACAAAACACCAGTAACTCAAATGGATATACATTATATACACGGTTATAGCCGTCTGTATGGGCGCTATGAAGAAATAACTGACAAATATGGAAAACTATACAAAAAAGCAAAAATTAATAAAATTTAAATGTAACATAGATTTAAATAAATATACCTCGTCAAATCTATTTACATCGTTGGACATTAAGTTCACAATTTGACCGACTGTTGTCTTGCCCATCGACGCGCGGCTCAGTTTTAGTGACTAAATAAATTTAAAAATTATTTTATTTGTCATAACTTATGACTCATAAGGTAATAATAACAATAAAATTACCTTTTTATACATCAATGTACAACATGAGCTCCTTAGTCTCATACCCATACGCATAACCAGCACGAGGTTCGGGTGATGTAATGTAATGAATAGGGCGGAGCAGAAACACACACCACCGGCGGCCAGACATGCCTGAAGATACGTTACTCCCCCGGTATTACTGAAAAAGTCAATCACAAACCCTAATAGCAATGGTTGTCCGATACGTATTACACACTCCTGAAAATAAAATGTAATAACACATTTTGTATTAACAGGGAATATATAAATATGGAAATCACCTACCTCAAATATAAATACAGTAAGCGGTAATATATAATAGGAGGCGTACGTGCGGAACAGCGCCCTCCAGAATCGAGGTGTCTGTTTCTCGCGCTCCAGATTCCAGTTTCTATATGACAATTAAGAAATGTAATCATGGTGTTAATTGTTGACATACATTGTTTATACAAATAATGACAATTATGAATCTCAATTATATAGCACATCACCGCCCGTTCCCATACATACCTTTCCAATCGCTGGACAATGCGCTGCGACTCGTCATGTCGTGAACACCGGAACATATCGTCCGCATCTAGGCCATTTTTTCGCACCCCCGTCCAGAATACGGGAAATACCCATCTGTTTTATGTATGTAAATATTAGCATCATTTTTATTTATTTTATCATATTAATTGTAAAAATAATTACACTTTTCTATTTTATTTATGTAGCCCTAATCACATTATAATTAGTTGTAATTAATTAATATGAAATAAATATATTATTTGTAGCAAAGATAATCTTAATTCCTGTATAAATATGCATTTTAAATAAAATATTTTATCATAGTTAATAATGAAAATACTATGATGGATTATCTAATTAATATGTTAAGTAAAGTTTTATAAATACTTTACATACTTTAATAATTTTAAGCTTTACATTTTAGCATTTAATGTAAATACCCATATAGGTTAATATCATAAGTATTGACAGTAAAAGTCAATGCATTTATAGATTACAAATTATTGCTCTCATAAAGTATAATGATAAAATTACAAGATTTCGTACTCAAAACGTCCTCAAAACAAAACTATTAATTTGATTTTATAAACGGAAACCGCTTTAAAAAAAATGTTTATTTAGTAATTCATAATATTTACCAAAATGTGTTTATCCATCGCTTATCTAATGGTAAGGCATATGTTTTTCTAAGTAAAACTATTAATGAACTCAAAACATGCAAATTAATACAAATGTTTAGATTTTCTAGCACTTTGTTGTAAGGATTTAATAGTCCTATTAAAACTAGTTTATTTATTACCATCATTTAACTTATCACCATTGCAAATCTTAATTGCGTTATTTACTCGTTAAATTATAAAATAATTATACAGTATTCTCAAAATTATTATTTGTTTATTTAAACGCAGCGAGTGCATTTATTTGAGTTCGTTTTAAATTTTCCAGAAGTGCATTATTTGTACATGATCAAGTAATTTATTTAATTAGAAATCCAAGTACAATATAATTATAATATGATGAAAACAATTTATGAAAATTAATATAAATAATAATTTATAATATTATTATAAATACTTTATTAAATTTTTTTAATAGTATTTTATTTAAAATTATTTTTATATAACTATTATACAACTGTTATACAAATATTATACTAACATGGTTAAATAAAATACATTAACAATAATTTAAAAGCTTGCCATTTATTAATTAGTATAAATTTAGATATTATTAGCATACTTTATCAATTATTAAGTTTTACGTTGCATTTAACGGGAAAAATGTATATATTTTTAAGCCCAATAAAATTTTAAAAGTATGAACAGTTAAACTTCCAACCAATTAGTAAATAAATATATTTATTAAATATTAAAACAAATCTATATAGTTTTAATTACAGTTTGCTAAAATTTATACTCTCTCT